TACCCTCGTTAGGGCATCGTGTTCCGATTTCGAGTTTCGGATGAGGGAAATGAGGTTTGAGGAGGCGATTTCCGTGGATTTTATGTGCCGTGTCGGGGACGGTTCTACCAATGTTTCGTCGGATTTGTTGAAAAGCTTGGCCGGGAGTAAAATTTGAGATTTGTTGTCAGATTCTACCCCCTCACTTAGGTCTGGACGCCTGGACAGAGCATCGGAGTGATTTGTTGATCCTGCTTTATAGCTGAGTGTAAAGTCGAATCTGCTCAAATAAAGGCTCCAACGGGCGTGTCGTCGTGATAGGTCTCGCGCCGTTTGGAAATGTTCCAGGTTTTTGTGATCTGTCCAAATCTCGAAGGGATGTCGTGCTCCTTCGAGGTAGTGATTCCAGTGTTCCAACGCTTTTATTATAGCCAAGAGTTCCCGGTCGTGAACATCGTAATTCCGCTCTGCTGGTGAAAATGATCCAGAGAGGAAAGCGACTGGGTGCCAGTCGCCATCTTTTCCTTCTTGTAGAAGGGTAGCTCCATAGGCGATTAGTGAGGCGTCCGTTACTAATCGATATGGGTGCATGGGATCTGGATAGTTCAAGACGGGTTTACTGATAAAAGCTTTCTTTAACCGTTCGAAAGCTTCTTGGCATTTTGCAGTCCAGTTCCATTTCTCGTCCTTTTTGGTAAGGTCGTGTAGGGGGCGCGCGATGAGTGAGAATTTGTCAATGAAGCGCCTGTAAAAATTCCCTAGGCCCAAGAAGGAGCGAATGTCGCGGACTGTGCGTGGGATTGGCCAATCTTTTATTGCGTCCACCTTTGAGTCCTCCATGGCGACATGGTCTTTTGAAATTGTATATCCCAGATATTGGAGCTTTTCCTTGTAAAACTCACATTTTTCGGGTTTCAAATATAGATCGTTGTCGCGTAGGATTTGGAAAACTTGGTTTAGGATTTTAACATGTTCCGCCATGGTTTTGGAGAAGACGAGGATGTCGTCCATATATACGGTTATCTTCCGGGCTGTGATGAGCTCCCTGAAGATCATGTTCATCATAGCTTGGAAGGTGGCTGGCGAGTTGGTTAGGCCGAAGAACATCACCGTTGGTTCGTAAGAACCTAACGGGGTGATGAAACTCGCCTTCCACTCATCTCCCTCTTTGATGCGTATATTGTTGTATCCCCATCGCACATCCAATTTGCTAAAAATGATGGCCCCTTTTATCACGTCCAGTAGTTCTTGGATTAGTGGAAGGGGGCACACATTCGGGATGGTGTGCGAATTCAAATGGCGATAGTCCTGTACCGGGCGTAGTTTTCCATCTTTTTTTCCTATAAAGAAAAATGGGGCTGCTGTTTGCGAGGTGGATCGACGGATGGTTCCTCTCTCCAGATGTTCCTTGATGAATTTTCCTAATTCGTCGTGTTTCTCTGGGCTCAGGGCGTAGATTTTGGGCACTTGAGGTTTGAAGGTTGGTTTCAAGTCGATGGCATGGTCCCAGTAAGTGTGTTCTGGGAGTCGCTGCGACTTTCGTTCGCTAAAGATGTCCAAAAATTCGTGATGCGCCTTGGGAACTCTTTCCTTTAGATTGGTGACGATAATCTCGTCTTCCAGGTCTTGGTCGAAACTGGCAAATCCTGACGGTTCGGGGGCCAGTTTCCGAATAACTGGGTCCCGGGTGGCCTGTTTTCCTGAGGGTTTGTCTGGGAGATCAGGTTCTCCCCCGTTTGGTGAAAGAGATGGCTTGTCTTGAGCCTTTCGTTTCTCTTCTGCGTATTTCCTTATGTCCTTTAGGAGCCATTTCCTTTTGAGGTATGCTCGTAGTCGGACGCCAAACGTTCCGCTGTGATCGCGGAGTCCTACATCTTCCGATAGTCTTCGGAGGTGTTCGAGGCGCTGTTTTTCGCGCTCATTGATGCGTGGTTTGTGCCGTGGCTCCACGTCTGATAACTGCCTGCTGTATGGCGGTTCTTCCCTTGCCCTAGTGAACCCATATGGTTGCTGGCATTTCTGGGGGCACCGATCAAAGTGCACTTCACGTCGCCTCCACTCGATGGAGGGATCGTGGTATTTCAACCAATCTGTTCCCAGGATAAGGTCGTCTTTCCCTAGATTGGAGATAAACATCTGGACGCGCTCAGTATGCGTTCGTCCACTGATGTCCCGAATGGTGAGGTTCACATCCAAGGCGGATCGGATGAGACCTGCTTTGTTAATGGTGTCATCGACGTTCCGGACGCGAATGGGGTTGTTGAGTGTATAGGTGGGGAAACGATGTCTCTTGACCCAAGTTTCGTTTACTATAACCCCTTCGCAGGCCGAGTCGATGGTTGCCTTTGCTCCAGCGTTTTGACTCCTATTTGATACTTTCACGTTCAGGCGTATGGGGGTGATGATACGGTCGTTCATTGCTCCGATACGAATACAAGTGCGGGCATCAAACTCGGGTCGTCCTTGACCTCTCTCCTTCGCTGGCGAGGGAGAGGTCAGGAAAAACGCTCCGCGTGTCCCAGGATCACTTCTCTTGCTTCATCTTCCCCTAGTTCTCCGAGTACTGCTCCGATTCGAGCAGAATGACTGACGCTTCCGTCTCCCCGTCGTCCGTTAGGTAACACAGCGCGTTGCCCATGGTTCGTTTGGGGTCGTCCGGATGAGGTAGAGTGAGGACGTTCCATCGAAGGACCAGGTTGTGGTACCCGCTGGTCGTTGCGAGGGACATCCTCTGTCTCCATTCCTCGATATATTCCCGCTTGGTTTCCCATAGCGGGTGCGTCGTCTTCTCCCTCCAAATCAACCGCGCGGTTTCCTCTCCCTGTCGTACCCAGGCGTCTTTTCGAGTTTCCTCGAACTGGGCGAACGCCTCTGCGTGGTGACCAACAGTTAGCGCTAGAGTGCCCTGGCTTTCCGCAGTTGGAACAGGAGGTGGTTCGCTTGCCGTCAAATTTTCTCTTTTGACTTTCGGCGTTACGCTTTCTGGTAGCGTCAATGTCCATGTCAACCACCTGGTTGTTCATTCTGCGAGGGGCGTTTGTGGAATTGTAGCGGGGAGAGATTTGGTTATGAAAACGATTCAGATAATCGCTTCGAAAGGAGGTGGAGTTGGCGAGGATGGCTTTTTGAGCTGTTCTGGCTCGAAGTCGTCCATCTATTTCGCAGGCTGTATTGATCCAGTCCTGAATCGTATCCTTTGGCTGAACTTCCTTGTCGTATATTTTGTCCATGACGCGCGGGTCTAACCCGCGTTGGAAGTAAGGGACTTGCTCTTTATCGGAGATGTCGGCATCGGCGGCGATGAGAATGAATTGGTTGGAGTATTCATCAACCGTCATTCGTCCTTGGGAGAAGGCCATAAGTGCGCTTCGCGCCTTGTCGGTCTTGCCCGTCTCCCTGAACTGTAATTTGAACTTGGCTAAAAAGTCCTTCCAGGTGCCTAGATCGGTGGGTGGATCCGCTCCTACTGATTTGAGGAGGAAGTTCTCCGCCCAAGCTCCCGCCGTGCCGTATCTCATGCATGAGAGCACAAGGGATATTTTGTCTTGATCGGTCTTGTACCGATCGGATTCTGCTGCGAAAAGAAGGAGGCATTGGAGCATGAATTTCTGGGATTCAATGCGGTCGCCTGTGTAATTGTCTGGGAGTTTGACTTTTCCTCTTCCGGGTTGTACTGTCGCGGAAGGGGTGTTTGTGGAAGTCGAAGCTTGTCCCGACATTTCGGCGAGTGGTTCGTTTCGGGTGTTGATCGGTGTTTGGTCTAGTGAGTCGGAGTCTGATTCCGAGGTTGTTTCCTCTTGCTCCGAGTCTTCGGGGATCACCGGCGCCGGTTCCCTGTATTGTGGGGCTAGTTCCCACTGAGCTTCTGTTTCGTTCCAAATATCCTCTTCTTCTGTTCCGTCTTCAAGGGTGAAGTAATAACGCCCGTTTCGGTATGAGCAGTTATCGTAATTCGGAGGGGCAGTTCCGTTATTGTCTTCGTAGACCCAGAAGTCCCCTTCGCGCCGGATAGGGCGATTGTTGTGACGGAGTTGGTTATTGATAAGTCTAGTGCCGGGTGGGTATTCCTGGCCTAGGTCTTGCTCCAGAGTGTAGCAGCAAGCTAGTGCGAGCAAGGTAGGGGCAGAAGAGTCTATTCTAGTGTTACGACTGCTCGTCGGTAACCCCGAGAGTAGGAGGTTCTTCCCTAGGTCACTCGTGGAGGATGTGTGGAACGGTGGTCTCGACTGTACGTGTAGCACAGGAGCCAGAAGTGTATTGCGATATAGCAATGAAGACTGTAGTGGGAAGACTACAGCGAATGGAGGGTACTGTAGGAAGACAGTACCAGAACGAAGATCCCTGTATGTGAAGATACAGGGGAACGAAGTACTGTGGTAGGAAGACCACAGTGAACGAAGAGAATAGACTGAAGATCCTCAGCCTATTCTATGGGCCTTTTATACTACTTTGGGAAGTAGGGCGTGAGAATACCGAATATGTATCTGTAGGTATTCTCTAAGTCGTCTCTCTCAATAACGACTACTCTTGTGCTTCTCCGTCTGTCTCCTTCCGGCCAGGAAAGACTAGGAGGTTCATGCCCTGCGTGTGAGTAATTTATAAGGCGGCGTTCCATGCCCGCTAATACAATAGGCCCGTGATACTCGACCAACGATAAGGTGATCCGTTGGGAGTGGATGACCAAGGTTAATATCTGTACCTTGGTGTACGCCTCAACCTGTGAGGCCGCTTGATAGTTGTGATGATCGTATCGGTATAGACCGCCGTGTAGGCCCGATAGAACGTGATCATAACAGCAGTTGCGGAGGGTATGGAGTTGCAAAAGCTCAGGTGAGTCACATCCTTGTCATCTGGGTGTCCTGGTCTGATTCATTGAATGCAGGGAGGATCTTCTGAACGAGTTGGAGTTGGCTGACGAGAAGTTGCTAGAGGACTCGGAGCTGGGACACCGCTTTATGACACGACATCAGACGTGGCGTGCACTACACGAACAATATGTTCAGCCCGCGATTCATGAAGCCATGAACGATAGTGACGCAGTGAACTGCTCGTCCATCAAATTTAATGTTCGCGGGCCGCTGATCGAACAAGAAAAGCACACGGCACACGACGAAGCAGGTGCTCGTCCACACTCGGCAAAACGTAATGCTGCTTCATTACACACAGAGCGGCCCAGCACCGTAGCGAGCCAATCGTTGAGGAGTGCAGCGTGGCACAGGGTCCAAGCCATGGCTGTCAACCTGCCGTCCGATTATGCTTTAGCGATCACCACCCATAGTGCTATGTCCCAGGCTGCAGAGGTCGAGAGGTGATTACGACAAGGGCAAGCCAACGACGCCCTCGATGATTTGAGGGCTCACGTCATAACGTCCTATGCGGTGAAGCAGGAGAAACGGGCAGGTTCTGGTCAGATCCACAACACGCGCGCGAACCTCAAGATAAAAAATCACAAGCTGGCCGTCGATGCTGCAGCATCGAGGTACAGGCTTGCGCGTAGCAAACTCGTGAGTCTCGGTCTCTCGCCAGAAGACCCCACGTATAGGGAACTCCAAGTCTCCGACGTCGTCCCCTTTACTGTATATACCGTGGATCAACAACTGGGAGATAGCAAGAGACAGCCGTCCTGGATCTGGTCGGACTTCCACTTTGTCGAGGGCCAGAATGAAGAAATCCGGCAATACTGTGAGGAGAGTGAGTGCATTCTATCCCTGTATCATGTCAGCCTCATCACTTATGGTCATTTAGTGTTGAAGGTGCATTGGTTCCGTCGAAGCGCGCTAAAAACGCGGTGGCAAGAGCAGCTCATGTTGGTCGAAGAAGAGATGTGTCGGATCTTACGCTTCTTCGACTACCATGAAGAGTTATGGAGGAGTCGAGTAACGTCGGGGGGGGGAACGGCTGGGCTCTCGGCCTATGCACGCAAGTAAGTGCTACGTTCAGCGTTTGGAGTTGAAATTAAGCTTTGCATCAGACAAGCGACCCGGTATTCGCGGCTTCGTCACAATGGCTTTGTGGAGTTTTCAAAAAGGATTCATGTTATTTAGATGATTGCGCGCCAATATAAACGTCAGAGCGGCCATTCCTATCTGGAGTGTAGAGTGTCGAGTGGTAAGTTGTAATGCCCAAGTGGGAGTACGATAAGCGTGAGGTAGGGTTTTGAGTTATTCGATACGTGAAGATGTCTCTTATTATGTAATTTTCTCTACAGGTGCGTTGAGCTGTATGTTTCCGGCCCTTCATTGCTTTCATCTGGCATCACAGGGCCAAAAACCGGTTGTATCCCAGCAGGATGTCTCTGGCCGGTCATTGTTTTTTGTTAATCACTTGTTCATACTGTGTGTACTTAGTGGAGTGGACTTTATATTTATGCAAGGGAGCGTGGTGTAGTGGTCATGTTGTCTGATCGATAGTGGTTTGGATCCTTGGGATGTTAGGTTCGATTCCCCACCTTGCCATGTTTGCTTCACTATTTTGACTGCAGTGGCCGCATGCTGAGGTCAGCGCGCCAGAGATATCCGGCTGACCAGGCGCGTCAGAGGGATCCGGGCCGCGGTGCTAGGTAGGGTACTGAGACAACCGGATATCTCCGGCTGTAACCGGCCATCTCCGGCTGATGTGTGTACACGTCACGGTAATATCCGGGTAACTGAAGTCCCTCCCTAGTCCCTATTCAAATCCGCCTTAGATCCTAAGCATACGAGTTGCACGACACCGGCACACGGTATGTAGTGAGATGCCGTATGCGACGCGAGCGAGCAACGCATTCATTCCGAGAGCTATCAGGCATTCTCTACGTGAGATATATCATTTGCGCACCAAAACACGCCCATTAATGTCGTAAAAGACTGGCATCCGCATCTGCATATGATGTCAGGCCTCAAACCCCGACCGCTTTCGGGAACTGTACCGCCATCGCTGTGCAGCTACGTGCCAGTAGCGAGCTGCTACTGTGTCAAGAGATGCTTAGGCTCACTAGCAGGTCCTGGTAACATCTGATTTGGAAAGTAGGCTGATAAATACAAAGTTGCAGGACGAAATGTACGGCGATCCATGAACCCTGGAGAAAACAGTGTTTGACTTCAACTAACCTTTTCTTAAGGCCAGTGAACGCACCATGTGTCTAATGAGCATCGAGGAGACCAATAGGGAGACGGTTAAACAGATTGGTTTGATCCTCTGTAGTGATATCATCAGTTTGATGCAACCTCTAATATGAGCATTCAAACCCTTTATGACTTTCCACCGATCGACCGACAGTGTCCTCCCTCCGTAAGTATGCTCCCGCCTCTGCTGCAGCAAATCTGGACAGCGTGATCACTTCATCTTGCTTGCCGTCGAGCTCTTGTCGAACGAAGTCTCGAGAATTCAGGCTAAAGGACGAGTCAGAGGATAATCAAACAGAAGGAGGTGCACGAACGAAGACATGAACGAGCAGAAATAGACTAGAAGAATTATCAATTAAATTGCATGACAAGTGACTAATAAAAATACGCACGTCGGACCAAGACGAAGAAGAGCGCGGCGAAGACGAGCGACTGATGTAATGTCAAGAACTTAACAAGGCCAGTCAGTACTGCTCAGAGCATAGGATATCGACCCCCTATCTTACCGTGATCAGTGTAGTGACAGCGAATACCCTGCACAAGTAATCAACATGAAGCCAGATCTTGAGAGGGAGAGAAAGCTACTACGTTGTTAGCAATGCTTCAATGTAAAGGGATTTCAACCAGTGTTATCTCGGAGATGCAGAGGATGCTTACACGTATTCAGCGCGTAGGTAATTAGTAGATTGATGGCCCGGTTTGTTCTGATGAACAATGAGGCGACGAGCATGGGTTTCAAGGGTGAGACAAGGAGAGACACCTTTTGAATTGCGTACGGTTCTTGCGAAGGTGATAGATCATGAACCCCGTAATGAGAGCGTCACAACCAATTTCTGCCGAAGTTGAAATGATGGTCCACGGCTGGTATACCAAGTCAGTAGAATTCTAAAGATGATGTACTGGGCGACGGGACCAAAATCTTCGGGCGCCCAGAAAAAAATGTTGGAGTATGGAAACTGTAAATGATGAATCACAGTGGTGAGAGCGAGCGATGAAAGGAGCCCAGACGGAGATATCACACCCAATGACTATGAAGCCTGTAAAGATCGAAAGTGACGGATGATAAGGACACAAAGATTGTGTTGACGTAAGACCTCACCGATCATGGCAGCTGTCGTAATGTTGAATTCATCAGCCTTGGGTCTCAACAAATATAAAGTTCCGAACATAGATGTCCGAGGCTCAGAAGGCACTGTAAGCATTGTGCAGGTGATTAATGACAACGCAGATGACATGTCAATGGACACATACTATAGAGGCAGGTAGTATTGGTGTGCGCCTCCCGCTTACTCTAAGAATGTCAGTCTTCGTTTCAAATGTACGAAGTAGATAGAAAGAGACGCACGGCAATATATCCGATACGCAAAGAAGCTAAAGGGACGAGTTCAGCGAGCCCAGGGCCGTCGACATCTCAGACTGACAATAAACACTCACATCTGAACCAAGACACTCAACAGATCCTGTCGGCGTTCAATATTGATCGAAGGTGACATAGAAGGCTGAATACAGATCGTACCCCTATCGCAAACTCGATCTACAAAGTCACTTAGTCAAGAGTGATAGCCAAGTCGTTGGCTTAATCCACGCACCAAGAAGCTCCTGCAGCAAAGATAATCAATGCGAAGACCGAGTGAGCAGAGTACGAACCACATTTACCACAAAGGGACGAGGGCCCTATAATCCCCGAAATTGGTGATGGTATAGATATACATAAAGTGCACTAAGAGCGCGACGTGAAAAGTGTCGAGGAGCCTCAAAAGAGAGGAGAGTGTGATGTTTGTTGAGACCCACGGAGCGGACATGATGGACCTACGTCAAAATGGCAACCTGGGAGGGATATTAGTTTCGAAAACTGAGCAAACGGTCATGTACAGAACTGACGAAAGCTTTCAGGAATCGGCCATCGTTGCTACAATGTTGCGTATAATATAAATATACTTGTAGGCAAGTCACCCCGTATATTCTGGACAGAGGCAACGAGGTTTCGTCATGCTGAAGTATAATGGTGAATTCGTCGAAGAGCCAACTCACCCAGTAGACACGATCACTCCGATATAAGTAGCGCCAAGCGAAGCGTCTAGCGGAATGAGAGAAGGCATGGTCGTGAGCGATCTGGTGAATCGAGGTAATAGCAGTGCTTCAATGAATACCACTGTGGACAGGATTCAGGCGGGCTTTATAGGTTAGACGCACGCATTACGGAGGTATATGATTCGATGAATCTGAATAAATAGAAACATACATATCATATTTTGGGTCGTTAACGAGAGACACCGGTTGTCGGCTAGCCCTGACAAAGGGTTACAATCTACAAATCAAATGAGCGAAGTATCTGCCGGTACAAGCCTTAAAGGGTTGAGGGCGTAGAACGTCAGAGGATGAATTGTAGGATTGTAGCGGTGTGGCTTAAATACGGTCGAAGTCAGAAGCTGTGATACAATGGCTCAAGGGAAATGTGAACAAAGGAGGAGCCATTTCCCAATCCAAATTTTTCGTGTCAGGACCCGGAAGAGGCACATTGTACAAGGGATTTTAGGGCATCTCGGGGACCACAAAGTGTGGCAGGCGCACGCCATCGGGGAATCTGCTGTGGATCCCCCAGATTCTTGAGTTCAATTGCGAAAAAATTAAATTGGAAAGATAATCAGTTACCACTGAATATATATGGAGCATTCGATTTGGATTTGAAGACTCCGATGCTCTTTACCAAATTGTTTTTGACGGGCAGTGCAGAGTGACAAGGAGCCTCGGGCCGCGTGATATTTGGTCATCTTTTTGAAACGCCGCTTCGCAGGTCGCCCGCAACCAGAGTTCAAATTTGAATGTGACGATGTGTGACCCGATCGTCGGAAAGATTTGCAACTCTCAAGTTTTGCTCGTTTTCGGACTCTCCTTCTCAAACATTTTACAACAATTCTGTCCATGGCTTCAAAAATACGAAAAAATGACATGACATAATTTAAGATATTTCCACATATGAAATAAAAATTTTGAGCGAAAAAAGGTATAATCCACGATGCTATGAAGAATTTTTCTTTTTGCAACTCCGGCGCAACGATAGGTACCAGCGAAAAGAACTACTCACAAGACACTTCCCGCCACCGACGTCACGCGCGCCCAGAGTCAGGGCTGGCGGCGTAATGTTGGGAGTGTGACAATGGAAGAATCCGCATGCAATTGGATCACACACACTTTACTGCAAACCCATGTCGGCGTAAAGCTGTCCATTTTTCATGCCAAGGCAGCATCACGGATATTTAGAGCTAGACCAATAGAGTCGCAAGGAATTCGTTTTGGCAGACAGAAGACAAGAAATGTTGGAGAATGTGGGCGTCCTGCTGCCTTCGCGTTGTCACTTGGGTTTAGGAGCCCACTGCCGTTTGTGCGAGTACGTACAGATCCGGAAGAGCGCCAGAAATGAGCTGTCAACTCATCGCCATGGCGTACTGAATACACCCGCCCTATTTTCAGCCCCGAAGAAAATGTGATCGTTTCCATCGTACTGTATGTTTGCTATGGTATCAACACCTGCGGTTGGAAGCGAGAATGACGCGCATCCAGTATTCAGGTTCAAATGAGTCGGAGAATATGATCCGGTACAGTGAGACCTGTGGATAGATGAGTAGAGCGACGGCCGTCCATGGCACTTTGGATTGAGGAAGAGTCGGAATCTACACACTCAGGGAGTGTGGGTGGAAAGGTCAAGCGGAATCCATAAGTTAACTGGGAACAGAGAGGGTTTTGGAGCATGCAGCAGGCTTGACGAGACTCGGAGGCTTGCTCACGCGACAAGCTTGAATGTCGGTTCATTGGCAACTTTACGAAGTTGTTTCTTCACCTCACACATAGCGCGTGTATATGACAGCATCTGAATCGAATGCTCAATTTGCTGCTATCTGGGCTTCGGCTCTTGAGGAATACAAGCGCAACACCAACAAGGATCCCACCTTAACACCACTCGAGGGCGATTCTCCCGACGTGCTTCTCGCGATCATCGATGAAAAACAGCGTGCCTTCAAACATTATTGAAGTAAGGGAGAAAAGCTCAGAAAAGCTCTCAAGCGCATATTGGAGCTGGAACCTTTGTTCTCTGAGGCGGCCGGGGAAGGCGCAGCACTGGCGAGTGTTGCGAGTGTTGCGACAATCGCTGGTGACTCGCTCGATATCTATAGACATTTCTACTATCGAAAGCAATTTTTGTCGCCATTCGCATACTACTCGGAGTGAGTATTGTGTGACATGCTCATCGGGAGGGTCTGCTTCTGACACGGCACCATCGTAGGCGGCCAAAAATGTGACCGCTAAATATGATGCGATCCTCGATGTGTTTGGGGAGATGGGAGATTTCCTTGATCGCTTGCGGATCCATTTGCAACAGGGTATCACAGCACCAATGCGGAATATCTTTGTTGAGATAATATCCCAAATGCTGAGGACGTTCGGAATTTTCACGAAGTCTATGAAGCGAAATCGTCTCAGTGAGCAATTTGACGGAGCATTCAAGGGATTGCACGGTGATACTCTGTTAGCTCACTACTTCAGGGGGGTCTTTGATATGGATGATAATGTGAAGGGCGCATTGGAGAAGTTAAGAGTATTGTCGAACCAGGAACTCCAAATGGCTACTACAGTCACCTTGGTGAACACCACAGAGATAGTCAACAGACTCCAAGGTGTGCTTTCTTTGGTGAATTAGCGTTTTTCGGGTTTCTTAATAACCTTGATATTCTACGTAGATGAGTTTGAAATAAAAATCCGTGCCTGGCTCAGTCTGCCTGACCCATTTACAAACTACAACACAGCCTCTCACACACGTAGTCTCACATGATTTTTCTTGAATTCATCAGGGAAAAGCTCCATACTAAATTAACCATAGTTAAGCATAAATATAGCTATATACCATTAAGGATTTTTAGCTAACCCCCCCTCTAATCCTGAAATTATAAGATCTAATTAGAGCTAATTAAAGCTAATTCATTATATGGATTTTTGGAAAAATATCAACCAACCCAGTTCTATACTTTCCCTAATACTACTACATTTCTAATCATAGAGTCTATATAGAGACTACTAATCAAACTAAAGTCACACCCTATAGTAAACTTGCCCATGACCAGAATTGAACCAACAACCTCATGCCTACACACCCGGACTAGTGCTTTAAACCACTAAGCCACAAGGTCTAAACTATTTACCTGCTAACCTAAATATGTTGATATAAATAAGGCAATCTCAACATTCCTGATTTTCTTACACATTCATCTCTTATCTATTCTATATATATAAGGGTCAATAAATATCCTAAAAATCAGGGCTTTTAATATTTGAATTTAGACACCAGAAAATAATATAGTAAACCAATAGAAAATAAAGAATACAGTAAAAATAAAATTGTAGCACTCATATAATTTGGATTTGGGATATGTAAAATTGTAATTAGATTGTAGATTTTAATAGGACTGTAATAATATAGACAATGTTGCCTTAATTGCAAATTTGGTCATAAAGTTGATTATGAAAAATACATTCTAATTAGCTTAGATTAGTATTTTGAACAATTAGATCTAATTAAAAGAGGAGGTTTTTCCAGATGTTTGTTAGGAGACTTAGGGGCCAAAAAATACAATGTTTTCTCCATAATCTATTCTTCCTTGAACATGAATGGCTGGACATCCCCTGAAGGGATCCTCTACATCAAAGAAACTCTATGCACTCTTTTACCTTGGCCAAATGGTCCCCATAACTGGCAAGTTAACAGTACTGCCAATATACTAGAAGGAAATAATCAATTGGTTATTGCTGCTTGCAGTGAAGGGAAGATAGCAGTCGCATACTTACATCTCATCTTAATCTCCCATTTGTCAAAGAAGCCTCCGAGATCCTTGCCATCCTTTGTGAGAAGTATTCAGTCAACTACTGTGGTCTTGATGATCATACCCCTAATTGATGTTGGACTGTGTCAAGTGAGTCTTAAATGCATCAGCATAGAACATGGATCTGACGGGTAAGGAGGTGGAAGAAATGTCAAGGATGGGAGTTAGAGTGGTCTCACTAGACAAGGAGACAGTGAGGGAAGTGCACCAGAAAGGCAGAACCTGCTAGAGGAGGTTGAATAGGGGAAGTGGTCAGTTATCATCTTGTCTCCAGAATGGCTGAACTCACTGGAATTTGAGAGAATTGTACAAAACAAATGGTTAAGGAAGCTTCTTGCTTTGTATGTCATTGACAAGGCTCATATTGTCCTTCCATAGGCTGCAGACTTCTGCGAAGCCTATGGTCAGATCAACTGCACCATTGCATGCATCCCTGTTGGCATTCCTGTCTTAGTGATGAGCAGAACACTAGGCTCAGAGGCTGAGACATCTCTCACCAAGTTTCTGGGCTTTCACGATGGGACATATCAGATGATCTGAAGATCCTATGAACAACCCAGCCTGCACATAATATTCAGTACACTCACACATGGACTTGGCAGGAAGGACTTCCCTGATATCCAAGTTGTTTGCATCTTGAAGGAAAAGGCTCTGTATATTCTTCATAGTTATCCATAGCTTATTATTTTATTCACTATGGCACGTGAACGGCATGTAGCGGCATCGCCGGCATTGCTCGGCTTGAGTCGCCTAACGACATGAATCATTCGGAAACAGCCGAGGCTGGACCTCCCGCCAAATCATCAAATTCGTGTGCAGACCTTATACACAGAACGACTGTCTTCTGTGTAAAGGTCGGCCACGGGGACTATCACACGCGACAGAGTGGAACTAGCGAGTGATTCGTTGGCGGAGGTGATTTTTAAAATTGGATGCAGGACCCCAACTCGTTTATATGGATTCGTGGTATTCGTGCGTCGATCGTTAATCGCTGGGATAGAGCTCCAATGCCATTGATACTCTACAACACAGATATCACGAAGACACATCTGTGGCTGTCGTCCATTTCTACTTTGACTTCAACGATCACACAAAGATGTTATCTCGTGCTGCTATCAATTCTCTAATCAGCCAACTCATGGCTCAATGCAACGGAACCATTCCAATTCCTATCAAGAACATCTATATTAGATGCTACAATGGCACACGACACCCCAGTTACGATGTTTTGACCATGGTACTCAAGGAAATGGCTGCCTGTTTGGACCGCACTTTCATTGTGCTTGATTCCCTCGACGAGTGTACTGGATTGGAACGGACGAGTCTTCTGCAATTTTTGTCTCAAATGAAAGACTGGGGTCTTGCAAGTCTCCACACATTGGTCACAGACCGATCGGTGTTGGAAATCGAGGACGCCATCGCATCCCAAGTTGATTGGCGACTCGACCTCCAGACTGAGGCTCGCTTCGTTGATCAGGACATTCAAATATACCTTGACAATCTACTGAGTCGTGATTTTTCCCTTCGAAAGTGGGGGGCTGAAGAAAAGGCGATGATAAGTGAGACTCTCCTCGAGCGCGCTTGTGGGATGTGAGTTCATCTTATCTGATAGCTTCCATGCGAACAACTCACTCAGCGCTCTAGGTTCCAATGGATTCGCTGTCAACTCGATACTTTGAGGATGTGTGTCTCCTACGCTGACCTCGAGGCGGCCCTAGTAGGCCTTCCAAAGACGTTGGACGCAACCTATGAACGCATACTTCAGAATATTCTGGAAGATCACCAGCCCAGAGTTTATACAGTCTTGCAATTTCTCTATTTCTCTGCATCACCTATGACACTACAGGTCATTGCTGAGGTTACCATCAAAGAGTATTCTCTCACTATTGCACGCTATGAACCTCGTCGCCGACTTTGCAGTCCCGAGGACGTGCTGACACTCTGCGGAAGCTTAGTCTCACTGTCGGCGAAAACCGTTACTCGGAGCATGTTTGGTTGAAGCACATCACCTGCTGACCCCGCTCACAGTTCTGTCGAGAAGATACTGAGATCATCCCATTTCTCCGTACAAGAGTTCCTTGTCTCACAACGGATCCAAGTAGGCAAGGCATGGAATTATAGTATCAATACAGGCTTGGCACACCAAAATATGGGTTTGACTTGTATTTCCTATCTCCTGCGATTCGATGATACGGATAGACCAGACACTAGCGGGATGACAACTCCTGACTCTGAAGTTGCGTTGTCGCTGTATGCGTTTTGGCATTGGATGGAGACTTGTATTTATCTGCGGAAATTAGCCCTAGAGCTTCTTCACCATCCACGCCGTGAACAATTTCTTAGCTGGATCAAAGTCAAAGATCCAGATCCCCGTCCCAATGAAATGATGCAGTTCTCCTCGGAGCACGATACAAAGGAAACCCCCAACCCATTGTATTATTCTGCATTATACGGGTGGGTCGAGATTTCACAGCATCTGCTAGAACAAACCGCAGACATAGGGGCGAAAGGAAGCACCTTCGTAAATGCTTTATAGGCAGCGTCTTATGGTGGTCACGAAGGTGTTGTCAATATACTATTGGACTATTGGACAGGGGATTAGACGTCAATGTGTGCAGGGGGGACTATGGGAACGCGCTACAGGCAGCGTCTCACAAAGGCCATGGACCTATTGTATCGGACCTATTGACTCGAGGCGCGCACGTCAGTGCTCCAGGAGGATATTTTGGAAATGCGCTCCAAGCGGTTGCAGCGGGTGGCCACGAATCTATCGTCCGTTTGCTTATAGGACGAGGCACAAGTGTAGATCTACAGGAAGGGCGCTTTGGAAATGTGCTGTAGGCAGCGGCTTTCGCAGGAAGCGCGGTCATAGTGAGGCTCTTGTTGGAGAGGGGCATGGACGTCAATATGTTCGGAGGAGATTTTGGAGCAGCGTTGTATGCGGCATCTTGTTGTGGTCATAAAGAGGCAGTGCAGCTGCTACTACAAAGAGGAGGAGATGTCAACGCCGAAGGAGGGGACCATTGTCGGTATGCCCTACACGTCGCGGCGCTGAGAGGCCATATAGACGTTGTACAGCTGCTTTTGGAGGGGGTGCAGATGTAGATGTGGAGGATCTAGGAGGGGACGGAACTGCACTTGGCGTAGCTAGATATATAGGAGACGAAGAAATAGTCCAACTCCTCATTACCAACGGCGCCGACATTAGAAAAACAACAGGCGACATAGATCTGACATCTGCGCATCCTTGGGATTGGATTGATGACATGGCGTCGACTTTCGACGATAAACGACCTTCGTCTTCAGGCGTTGAAGATGATGCGTCTTGAGTCCTATGCAGAGTTAACTTTATCTACGCATGGAATTCATGACATCCTCCTAGAGGTTTCCTTACTCGTCGATACCAATGTGCTCGTTGAGTCCGAAATGAGTTGTTACTGCAGTTACTTTTTTTATTCAAAGGCCCAGGTCCCCATCCACAGCAGTATGAGACAGAAGAAAACGATAACTACTACCGGCCGGCTACATTGCATCTTACATAGGAAGATGCAGCGTGCAAGATGTGCATCCAACCTAGTGATCGGAAGCATCAAGAGCATCGTAGACAGGGCAGAGGGTGCTCCAATCAGCTGTATACGACATCAGTTCAATCATTTTTGTTTCCCCGGTGGGCAGATTGTGAACATACCGGGAACGATGTTAGTGGTGTTCGTCTCCTCAATGCCTTCAGCCATGACGACAGCAAACCCGCTTTCAAAGAGAAAAACATATGAGCACATATCAGGGAGGGATCAGATGTATTGACTTACGCCTCGAGATGCCAGTCGATGTGGCTGGAGATGGGTCAGCGAGACAACAATTTAAAGTGCGCCTATCCGGAACATACCAATGAATGAACCAAGGTCCGGGATTATCGGTTTGGAAACGGATCGTGACGTTGTCACCAGTGGTGCCAATGTTGACAGTGTCGCGGCGTACAGGGTTGACGTAGTTGTAGGTATCACTGCCAGCGCTGCGAATAACGTCGAACGCGTGCTGAAAAACATGTCAAAAAATTATACTATGCGAAGGCTGTAGACATGGCTTACACCGTGCAAATGGATAGGATGCTACAAAAGAACACAAAAAGAACACAGTCAGGTCATTGGCGCGGTAGCATAATAGGATGTATCCAGACTTACACCACCTCCTACAGCGCCTCCGGGAATAGATATTTCGACGGACTTCCCAGTTTCCAGGCCATAGATAGACCCAGCAGGCAACAGATCAGACGCTTTTGAGGCGCCGCTCAGGATCTGAAGCAGCACAGGAACAGATGGCGATGCGAAGGGTTGGCCATTGACGGTGAACTGCAGAAGCGTGAAGTTCTAAGGCAGAGATGCATATAAGCAATGATCATCAAGATAAAACCTCCGAACTTACGAAGACAACGTCTAAGTTGATGAGGATATCAGCTCCGCCGCGTTCGGGAGTGCCAGGCTATAATGTATCGTTAATTGATCAATCTTCTTGGACAGATGCAGAGATGGGCAAGCAACATACGACGGCGAGGCTTTGGAGAGGCTGAAAGGAGAACGATGATTAAGTTTAGTTGTCGTATACCAAAGTTCGAAACGTACGTGAAGATTAGTCTCAACGAGGGGAATAACGGTGTCGGTCTGGTTAGTCGTCGGATCGGCGTCCTCTGCACCAACATAGCGAAGAATGCCCATGTTAAGGCCACCATCGAAGGAAGTCGTGCCCAAGTTGGGTTGAGCACGGATCCCTGTTTGGGATATTGTTAATTATATATGCTCGTACGAGACACAGGGACTTACAGTAGTTTGCTACCGGCTGGTTTGCTTCCAGCTATTGACAAATAGCGACAGTGAGAATAAAAACGGCGACGCGAAAAACCAAACTTACGACAAGAGAATAGCGCTGACCTGCATAAAGATCAAGTCAGGAGTGTCGATAGTAACTACTGCCAAGTTGCTTACTAGCGAAGATGTGGACGGAGTCAGCAACAACAGCCTGCGTGCTGATACCATCAGCTTCAATGACGGTGAAATTGTGCCCGTCGATAGAAAACACGTAGTTAGGATCGCAAGACATGTTGATAAGGCGGAGCCGATAGCTGTTCGGGTAGAAATCAACTATCATCCAAATTGCGCCGAACTGTCTGTACAAACCGTTTCCCAGCCGTGACATTCACAACGGCAAGCGGAGAAGAGGGACCGTCCACGTAGCGGCCCAAACCATTGATCAAGGTAGCATCGGGAGTACTAATAGTTGTATGATCAGCGTGCACTGATCGACAAGATGAAAGAAGTTATAACTTACGGAACAAGACCCGCCGAGGGGGCAAAGACATGATACCAATCTGACAGAGTAATCACAGTGGAGTCTATCCACCAATGCAATTAATAAATGGTTCAGACCCTCATTAATTTTGCTTACCATCGTCGACATCGTACAGAGATGCGTGCGCATCCTCTGGGTCATAGATGACAAGAGGACCCCTCAAACCGTCGCAGTATTGAGTGGACAAATGCGAGTGATACCAGAAGGTTCCCGCTTGATCGGCAGCAGTGAAGTTGTACAAGAAAGAGTGACTCGGCGCGATAGGGCACTGAGTCACGAAAGAGACACCGTCGTGCTCATTGGTAGAGTGTTGAAACAGGCCATGCCAGTGCTATGAAAGAACAGCCAGTGAGTGAGAGAAAGTTTAGGAAAACCGTGAACTCATACAATCGAAGTACTTTTCAGCATGTTACCATCCGTCAACAGATCAGTGACATTGATCCGGAAGTTGTCGCCCTGCAACATTTTCTTAACAAAGAAACCAACCAGGGCGGGAAAGCGAACCAACCTTCTTTCCAGTAATAAGCGGTCCAGGGTAAACGCTCGCAGCAGACACAGTGCTAGACAGGATACTGTGAATAATAGTCCAACGACAGTATGGAGGTACTTACTCGCGCTCAAAGCCGTCTGGGGACAACTGAGTGTTGGTGATGAGAAGATCGGCGACGGGGCCGATCGAGGCGAGGGCTTGCGCTGCTAGTGACAGCTGAAGGAGGGAGGTCACCCACATCTCTGTCTCTCTGTGAGTAAGTGGAGAGGGTTAGATGCGAGAGTGGGGAGATTCGAAACAAGTTCGATGGGGAAACGGGGACTTCTCTGACAGTACTTATACTCTCCTCCGGACATGCTTGTCGCCGTGCATCGGATGTGCGACAGATGTGGAGCCCCCAGAGGAAAACGCCTCAGCGCCGCTGCGGACGAGAGTGGCCCTTACTTTCACTCGTCATCAAACTCTTGTCAAGGCGGCGGCGATGAGCAATAAGGGGGACCGCAGAAGGAAATGAGAACCTAGCAGCGTGCGACGCCTCTGTACGATGCAAGGCCAAGCCAAAACTGTATTTCATGAGGTACATAAGGTACGTGCGCACATAATCCAACTGAACAAAAGATCGAGCAAGTGATTCGAGATTCTATAGCGAGAAGACGGAGGTTGACACAGGAATCAAGCAGGACCAGGAACCGCTTAGGGTCGACACGGCTGACGCTGCAAGGTGCTTCTTGTTCAACAGTCACAGCTCCGGAAGGAAGTAGAAGTAAGGAGGTCCTGAATGACGGAAAGATGAAAATGCTTCGAAGGCATTTTCATCTTTCCGTCATTCATGGAAGACCTTCTCGAATGCAATCGAGAAATCATTACGAGAAACTCACGGGATGTAGGATGGATGAGAATGTCACTTTGTCCTGAGCGACGACAGGGCAGAGAAGGGTCCAGCACGGTCGAGGTGACATAGGGACGAGGATGCCTCATTCGGAGACTGTACTACGACCATGGACACTATACGAGCGGGAAGATGGATCATCGAGATGTTGATCAGGTGCGACGGGATTAAATGAAGCCCCGCGATCGCGGGATTTGGATTTGACGGAAGTATAACGCGAAAGGGGGAGGAAGTGATAGAATCCGACATCACGCACGGGGCACGGACCAGATTTGATAGATGAGGCGATCTCCGGTGGCCCTAGTACTGATATTTTCGACTCTACTGATAGCACAAGGTATTCAGACTAACGCAAAACGGAGCAAGACTGTAGCAGTTGGTCGTGACGCCAAGTTAAGCAGGATGATGCGTAGCAACATGATATGCTTACGGAATGGAGACCGTTGTAGGCGACTTCTGTGCGACTCAAACCGACCCAGATTTGACCCCTGGCTGCCCATTGATCCTTCAAATTTGCCTCGTCCGAACTCCGCAGTCAAGGTACCCAGTTCCCCATCATTCAAATCGAGCGTCCGCTGATCTCGAAGCCGGGTCTTACCCTTCTTTACCTTGGTTCCTATATATGTAATTAACTTCGGACTTCGATAGCAGCCGGCAGATATCCTCAAATTGCCTCATACGCGGGTAAACTGATAATAAGGATGTGCGAGTCGCGAGTGATGAGGGGGTAGGCTCTGAGCTGCAAAGTCGGGACTGAAACGAAGAGCTGAAGAGGACGTAGAGCAGAGCTGTCATTCGACCATAGATATTAGGAAACATCCCCGCTTGCCAAGTTTGCCGCTTACCGAACTTCTATGGACACCGCTAACGAGTTCATACCAGATTGCGTACACTTGAAATTCAACATTTCGTGCGGGGTATCGGCTGCCCTGGATGACTTGGCAGAGTGCATCTCAGGATAATCGCTTACACTGCGTAATCAAGGACACGTACACTCTGCTGTCGTGTTGTATCCAAGTGTATCCGAGTCTTTGTTTCCCTATAAGGTCAGACTCCCAGCCAAGGAACGTACAAGGCTCACCTTCTACCCATCGCCCCTCTTCCAGGCTCTTGTCTGCGACATGCTCTTTTTCTCCCTCGCCGTCACCCTGTTCGCTTCCTTGTCCGCCGTGGGGGCTGTCGAGGTGAGCACTCGAGGATCTAGTGTTAAGCGTACCCCATTCTGAGTGCACACAGGATGAGGTCGCAAGTCCCACCAGTTCTTCAGCGGTTGTTACCGCCACGCGGCTTGTCAAGGGGCTCGCCGAAGAGTATCCATTTTTCGTGACGAGTACCCAGGTCGTCGTCTGGACTCAAACGCCAGAAGCTACTCCGGCATGAGCGACTCTAGCATGGAGTCGAAGGTTAGTTCCGGAAGGAATTTTCTTGATCATATCCTGATCGTGTTTGTACACAGGTCATATGAGAACCATCGATATGAGTGGAGATGGGTTACTCACGCAGATTATTGAGTTGGGCAGCGCATGTCGCGGAGTGTCTTCTCGCAGTATTCTGTTCGAGAGGAAATTGGAATATTTCACTGGCTCAAAGCTTAGAGCTTAAAGTGTGAGGGCGAGTGCGAAATAAAAGTGTATTGCTGCTCGAAGCCTGACAGGGTAAGCGCAAGAGGAATGCAACGAAAAGCGGAGTCGACGAAAATCGCCTCGGTGGACGAAAACCCTAGGATAGGGTTAGGTTTGCACATGGTCTTCAACATGCGGACCCGCGACATTATGAATTCTTGATGGTACATTTTATTTGCGCGCTCAGTTCTGCTAGCCTCAAAGGGTACAGTACCAGTGCGCAATCACTCGGGGCAACCTACGTACTTGCGATAACATGTGTTCAACCTGACACCTCAGCGGCTATCATGTCTCGCTCTCCCAATCTTGCTATTGAGGGACGACCAGGCTTTATCGTGAATCATAGATGATATCTCGTAGACATCGTCAGGCAAGATGTTGCGGATCTTGAATTTACTGCAGTCCTGAATCCTTCAAGTTGTCTTCATTCAAACAGACTCTAGAAACTAATGTCTCCATATTAGTCCCTCTATAATTCGTAGACTGAATTTACTGAACATAGCCACACCTTCTGTGTCCTAAGTGGAAGAAAAACAAGCCACTGTCGCCGCGCTTCTGCCGCACTTCACTGACGCGCTTCGATCAACCGCCAGAAATAGTCGCTTGCCTACTCTCAGGCGCTCGTACAATTTTCTTACCTCCCTTCTACCAATGTCAGCGCAAATTCAAGACTCTCAGCTCGCAAACATATGGGCGTCTGCACTCAGCAAGTACAGGCAGGACACCAAGCAAGACCTGCTGCGTGTCAGCCTCGAAGTCGATTCCCCCAAAGCTTTGCTGGAGATCATCGACAAAGAAATGAAGCAATTTAAAGAGTATCGGAAGAAGGGGGAGAGGACGAGAGCTGTAGTTATCTCTCTTCTTGAGATGGCGGCTTCACTGTCGGAGATGGTCAGTGAAGGCCTCACGACGGTGAGCACTCTGACAGTGATCGTTGTGAGCACTTGGCTAAATTTCGGATGACCCAGTTATGTCCCCCAATGAAAGCGGTGTCTATCGCCATTAGAAAGCTATGTGGAGTGCGTATCGTGTTTCGAATTTTCACCGTGAATGTGTTGTTCACAAATCGATTATGCAGGCAGCCGGCAGGCTCAGTGCATATTATGACATGGTCATCGACATATTCGACGAAATGAATGGGTTTTTGCGTCGTCTACCTGTCTATATGAAGCAAAAGACGACCAGAGAATTTGAAAGAATTCTTGTCGATACTCTTGCCCAACTCCTCGTGACTCTCGGGGCTGTTATCAAGTCTCTCAAAAATAGGTATTGCCGTGAGGAATATCAACGATTACCAATGCGAATAATTAACGATATATTCAGTTCAACTCCTCAAAACGCTGGGTGGGCGTGACGCGAAGGTGAAGGAAGCGATGGACAGACTAAAAAAGGTGTCAAGCCAGGAAGCACCAATGGTTATGGCTCAGGTTTTGGCCAACGTCGTGGAAACAGCGGATGCTCAGAAAGGTATGCTCGCTCATGAGCCATGCGCATGCGTTGATGTTGAATGCTACTTTTTGTCAGACAACGCGGAAAGAATGCTTCGCAAGGAAGAGAAATCGCTTTACAAAGATATCCACTCGTGGCTCCATCCACCCGACGTTTCGACAAATCACAACGTAGTTTCCGGAGCACGACAGAAAGGGACCGGCGACTGGTTTGTGCAGGGGCGGGAATTATTGGACTGGTCGAAGAATCCGAACTCATTTCTTTGGATTCATGGTATTCGTGCGTACACGAGCAACTCTATCCGCGACGCTTTCTAAAAGAAGCTTGGATGATATCTAGCTGGGAACGGGAAAACGGTTCTTTGGTAAGGCGTTTGCGACATTGCTGCGTGGATCGCCTCACCTGCTTCCTACAGTTCTAGTGTCATCGACACCCTCCAGCTTCAGGCTCAAGCCAAACCGAAGGTCGCCGTGATCTACTTTTACTTGGATTTCAATGATCCCGCTAAACTAGAACTCCGAGGCGTCATCCATGCTCTGGTCGATCAAATGCTGCTCCAGAGATCAGGAATTCCTGATCTACTGAGAAATCTTTACACTCGGTATCGCAATGGCACGCAGCAGCCAAGTCTCCGGGACCTGAGTTCAGTTCTTCAGTGTATGATCCAGTCCTCTGAAGAGACATATATGGTCATCGATGCTCTTGACGAATGTATGGGACCGGAACGAAGGAGCCTCCTTGATTTTCTTGTTGAGATGGGACGTTGGAAGCTCGCTAATCTTCACACGTTAGTCACGAGTCGAGCCGTGCAAGAGATCGAGGACACGATCCTACGGCGGCTTACAGGCGTCGTAGAATTCGATCTGAAACTGCGGGCTGGTCTTGTCAACCAAGACATTGACACATACATCAAGAATATACTCGATCGTGATCGTGCTCTTCGAAGATGGCCGCCGGACGTGAAGGCGACTATTTCTGAAATCTTGCTGAAGCAGGCTCATGGAATGTAGGTCGACGTTGTCGTACCCAAATGTAATGAGGTGTTCATGTAGACTTGCAGGTTCCAATGGGTCCATTGTCAACTGGATACCTTGCGGAAGTGTATATCACTCTCCGATCTAGAGACCGCATTGCATAATCTGCCGGAGACATTAGACGCAACCTACAACCGCATACTCCAAAGCATCCCTCACGATTATGAAAAGAGGGCCCATACCATCCTGCAGTTTTTGTGTTTCTCCGCTACGCCGATGACCTTCGGTGAGCTCGCTGAGGTTGTCACAATTACCGAGGACGAAGAAGGCATCCCGCGATACAGACCTGGGAATCGACTACGAAGCCCGGAGGAAGTACTGACGATCTGTGGGAGTTTAGTAACCGTCTCACCTGAGATGTCCATTAGGGCTGGGAGGGGGTTGTACTCATCGGACAATGCGTCCCATGACCGAGATCGAGCACAAAGAACTCTTCGACCGTCCCATTTCTCTGTCCAAGAGTTTCTCGTTTCCCAGAGGATTCTTAGGGGCTGGTCCAGGAACTACGGAATTAGCGCGGAACTAGCACATAAAAATATTGCTACGACATGCCTGGCATACCTCCTGCGATTTGACAGTTCAGACGGTCTGGAAACAAAGGCAATATCAGAGGAGAACGACGGCGCCCTAGCTCTATACGCAGCACGATATTGGATCCATCATTTCCAATCCCAGGATGCAGATATCCCAGTCGTACTCGAAGAACTCTTCCGCACCCCTCGAAGCGTGCAATTCTTGAACTGGATCAGACTATATGATCCGGAACGACGATCAGCTACGCCACAGTGGCATCGAGACGAAGAAACTGTTCTCTCGCCGCTTTATTATGCATGCTTGGCTGGACTACATACGACTGTGAGATCGTTGTTGAACCAAGGCGCAGATTTAGCCACGCAAGGCGGAGACTACGGAAATGCTCTACACGCAGCTGCACACGAAGGTCATCGATCAGTTGTGGAACTACTGCTGGATAGAGGCGCAGATAAGGACGCGAGAGGAGGGGAATATGGAACAGCCGCGCAGGCAGCTTCTTTTCGAGGTCACGAAAAGGTCTTGCGGCTGTTACTTGAGCGAGATGTGGATGTGAATGCCGATGGAGGAAAATTCGGATGCGCCCTACAAGCAGCATCGTATGGAGGTCATGCCAGGATTGTGCGCCTCCTGTTGGAAAGAGGTGCAGACGTCAATATGGTGGGAGGAGAATATGGAACCGCGCTGCAAGCGGCATCTTACAAGGGTCATGAGGTGGTCGTACGACTGTTGGTACAAAAAGGGGCCATCGTGACGATCCGAGGAGGACGATTTGGAAGCGCACTCCAGGCAGCACTGTACCGAGGCCACGGAGCACTCGCAAAGCTTCTGCTGCAATTAGGAGCAGAGACCGACCTTTCAAGAGAGGCCTATGTGCGGGTATTGCAAGTCGCAGCCCACAAGGGCCATAAACAAGTTGTACAGTTGATGCTAGACAGAGGTGCGGACCCTGACGAACGTGGACACCACGGAAATGCGCTGCAGGCTATGTTCCAACCTACGTTTCAACCCTATCCATATCGTGGGATCAACCGAGAGGTCGTGCAGATGTTGTGGGATAACGGTGCCAGACTCTTAATCAACTCATCTGCAACTCGATCGAACAGCCATCTTTCATCAACAGACTGGATTTCCGGAGCAGAGAAAATAGCGACATCATTGGACAGGAACGATCTCAGTTCCATGAAAATGGAGAGGCGGAAAAGTTATCCTTGATATCGTCATTCCCATGCAATCCTCGATTGGATTTGGGCGATAAGAATACGATTCAAAGCGAAAACCAAGCATGAAACATGAATTGAAGTATCCAGCGTCTTTAACTGTCTCTCGGGATAGAGGAGGATCTACTGTCGGGATATAATTTGAGAGATATGCGCGTGAGGTTTAAAACGAGCCCAACTTGTCCTTCGCTTCAGTGGCAATTTTTTTCGAGTATGGGGAGGTTGGGTGGGCGGCGTGGCATGAGGTGGAGTGGCGTGAGGTGGAGTCGCCCGGCACTGGCCCGGCACTGGCCCGGCATACTCCCAAATCTGGGTAGCTCGGGCCGGACTAGATTCTGAATGGAAGCGTGCGAGTCATCGCCTTTCCCTATACCACCAGCATCGCGATAGGAAGTACTGCAGAATGCAGTGCGTCTTATTTTTGCGATAAATCACAGCCCAATTCAACCGCGAAATATCTTGATGTGGTATACCGTGCATGCTCTGTTGGAGATGAGCGCTCATAGCGGTGCGAAATCACAACGGGCCATCAAGTCGTGTCCTCTCCCAAACCCACAGGGAGACCTGCGCGTACATGATCACAATCAAGTGAATTCTCGTAGCTTTGGGGTCGAAATGATCAGGTGAGTGGAACGTCATGATGAAATAGTGATGATCAGCCCAAGTTCTCAGGCGGAGGCCGCATAGCTCAGAACTTCGTTCTTCCATTACCCATTATGTTCACATATCCCACAATATATGAAGAGATAGAACTCGAGCTGCGCTCCTAAGGTCTTTTCATGACATCTTTTGTGTCTTTGAGCCCCTTGCTAGGTGCAGGTTTCGTTGGCGTCGTGATGTCCACAGTGTCTGTCCTTGATACAACAATTCATTCTTGACAACTAAATTTAGTTTCTACATTCTAGGCTTTATGGAATTGCGTGTATGCAAACCTACTTATACTATTGTCAACATTGCAGCCAAGATGGCCCGATTGTCAAAATTTTCGTAAGATTCATCGTTATTGTACTTTTCAGCCTGAAGCTCAATGCAAAATCCAAGGTCGCTGTCGTACTGTGGGTCAAAGGAACTCGTCGAGCCTTTACGTCGCTGACTCTATTCTAGATCGCTCGATACGTTGCACGTTGGGCTTCTAATCGTATTTCTCTACTATTATTCAGTAACGAATTTCGGTGACTATGAGGTCCTAGCCCTTGTTACATAGTAAGAATCGGTATCTCACCTCTAACACTGATCCAAACTCATTGATCATTATAGGAGTGACATGGTGTGGATTGCTCTCTGATTGTCTTCTTGAAATGTAGCTGATCCGTCTGCAGGGAATGGTCGTTGTCGGGGCACGTCGAAACTTTTGCTTAGGACTGGAGCTATCAACGGCGTGACGTGACATCTGTAGGGTATTTTCACTAGTCTCGTCCGACTGTATGTTGTTTCCTTGTATTTTCATAACGACGCTTATTTATGGATCATGAACGTCAGCTTCTTCGCGTATCGGATATACTCTTGTAAGTCTCATCTGAATCGGGAGAGCATGCGGGACAGAGGTAGATTCATCCATTTCTCCACGGTAAGCCAGAGGCGAGCAGTCCTTCCTGGGATTGTAGTATATTCAACAAAACTCTATCTCTGCCCGATCTGACGGTGCGATCCTATTTGATTCTGAACATGCGCGCTAGGAGTGAGTATGTGGCACGCTCGCTAAGATATGGTCTCAGAGTTTTCTTCTGCAGGTGGTATCATTGGTGATAGCATAATGTCATTACTTGCAATCCTCCATTGCTAAACCAAATATCTTGGTCTCTGCAGTGTACGTCATAAATGCGTATGTATAACCAATCCTGTGTCCCTATTTTGCATTGACTGTAATTTCCAGCGCAAAAATTTGCACCTTCGCAAAAGCCGCCCTTGTCATGGTTGGGTTCGAAAAATGAAGTTGCCATCATGTGTGCAGATCGCTGGCATTACTATCCAGCCGTACCTCACGAGCACATCGACAATGGACATTCTCAATGATATGATCATTACAACGTGCATGATATATTATCTGCAGAAATCCCGAACGAAATTTAGCCAGTGAGTATACGTCACACAACAGTCTAATAACATCTAGTCATGTCGTGTACAGGAAAAGCGATAAAATTACTCATCGCCTATGCGCTGAATGCGTGTGAGCATGGTTGGTTCTTTCTAGCGTTTTTTTCTTGTTGACCATCCTCTTTAGGCCTTCTTGCAATGTAAACATCACATCACTTCTTATCTCGTATCTGCGATAACCTTGCGCTTAGCATATTCAGTGGGGCTTTTTTGATTGCGGTCTGTAATACCTGCGTCGCAACCATCTAGGTTTATCTGATATCTGCATTGCAGTGGCTTGCCGAGACGACCACTTGGATGTATCTGCCCTTTTACTTCATCTACATTCGCTGTAAGTCTCCCAACCTCGATCCGTCGTCGTCGTGAACCCTGTGCTAAGCGCTCTCAACAGTATCGCTGTGCTCACTCAAAATATCGTGCGCCTGCGTCCTCGTCTACACCACTGCTCTACTCACTAGTGAATTTATACTGAACACCCGCGACAGTGTGCGTCAACAGCTTCATGAGCTGTCGGTGATTACATTACCAAAACAAAACCCGAATGTCACTTCGTCCACCGGGAGCAACCGACACGATCACAACGGGACAGAAGCAGTCTGATTAACCCCTGCCCATGGCTCTTGAGAATGGAAGAGGTTTTGCTCTACAATTGTCAACCATCGTTTCTTGTGATGTCTTCCTAACGTGACGAATCTGGTCGAATCTATACGAAGTATGTAGGTGTTCAGTGTTCACAGGTGGAACCGTAAGACCAGTGTCGATCATTTTTGTAAACTGTCTTTGCGAGCCGCAGATCATTGATACCCAGCTGACCACGGAGTTTGAGAATAACGACCTCGCATTCTACCTTGTACCGGACATCACCGCTGTGGGGATTACGTTCACCGAAAATATATTATTCGCCATACTATGGGCACAACTGTTTTACAGATCACACCATCAATCGAGAGCATAATACGATATGCATACACCACAATGTGCAGTCGCGAGAAGCGCTAGAACGAAGAAATAATATGGAAAAGTCTGACTTTGTAAACTGAATACTGAAATACGATGTCGAAGATCACTTATCAGAAATTTGCTAGTAGAAATTATTAGATCCAAAGGAACAAACAGTAGCAGGGGATTGGCCTGCCGCATTCCCAATCAAAGTCTAGCAGCCATCTGCCTGTCCATTGGAACCTCTACTGCAGCAGCCATCCGCCCACGTGCCCAACGCACGAGCTCACCAACGAACTGGTCCATGTCGTCGTGGGTGTGCTCCGCATGCACGCAGATGCGCACGCGTTCCTGGCCTCGATCAACAACTGGGAACGGCATTGCTCGGGTCCAGTAACCCTTTGCGCGGAGGTGTGCGGCGAGGGCGACGGGCTGAGAAGATTTGATGGGGAAAACAGGAGAAACGTAGAGTGTTGAGGATGTGAGGTCTGAAGTAGAAGTAGAAGAGTTTGTCGATAAGGTGGGCAAAGGGGCACGGAAAGTATGACCGGTGAGGATGGGGCAGAGGAGCGAAGTGGGGATCCCGTGGAGGGAGCGAACGAGGAGGCCCAGAAAATAAATCGCGTTCCCGTTCAATTTGTCGGCAAGCTTGTCGTACAGGTGAGATAAGTAGTCAATGGTGGAGGAGATGAATAGAAAGGCATACCTCGCGACCACGCTCACTAGAAATCCAGGAATGAATGCAATCGATGCCTATGATATTGCAGATGGGTAGAGCGGTGGCGAACAGCATTGGGCGTGCAAAATTCATAAGGTACTTGTGATTCAATGGCGAAGTGACGACTACGGCTAAAGAGATCAGGGGTAAGGGCGATCAGCGGGAAACCAGCGCCTATTGCAGAGAAAACCTACCGCCGCCGAAAGCCAGCGCTTTACTGAATGTGTGTATCCGCGTATGGACATAGTCTTCTAGGCCAAGAGCACTCACATACCCTCGTCCACCCGCGCCATAATTCCCTGTCGTGTGCGCCTCATCGATAATGAGGTGCTGAGACTGAGGCGGGACTGTCTCGTGCATGACCCGTACAATGTCGCTCAACGGCGCAAAGTCGCCGTCCATACTGTAGAGGCTCTCAACCGCAATAAAGATCGTACCGTTCCCATCAGCGAGGTGGGGATGGTCCTTCACCACTTGTCTGAGAGTCACCTCGAGCGATGTAATGGAATTATGTGAAAAGGGAAACATCATGTTTCGAGCTCGGGAAGCGAACATCCCGTCACGAATTGAGGCGTGGATGAGCTCATCGAAGACGAAAGCATCCCCCTTCTGTGGGAGAGTGCTGAAAACAGATAAATTGGCATCGTATCCCGAGTTGAAGACAGCTGCGGCGCCTGGGCCTGTGTAAAAGTGCTTGAGCAGGGCTTCAAGGGCAAGGTGTGTTGGGGTATTGCCATCAAGGAGGCGGGAGCCAGTGGCCCCGAGAATGTTAGGCTCAAGAGACAGCCTTTCGAGGAAAATTTGGCGAAGAGCGGGATCTTTGGTCAAAGACATGTAGTCGTTCGAGGAGAAGTCGGCTGTGGGAGAGATGACAGCATCGTCCTCGATGGTAACGGCAAAGAGACGTTCAGAGAGATGGCGGTTGAGATATGCATTGAGAGTGGGCTCCATTGCAAAGACGATGGGATGGAGGTCACAGGTGGTGGTGGTGGCCTTTTAACTGTAGGGCGTCGAGCGATTAACCAGATGTCATCCCATAAAACATAGGTTTCTTGTTTCACTATCAATGTATCCAGACGTGCAGAGAAATTTCCTGTATGCGGAAGATTACCTGGATGAAGGGTCTCAGGACAGTGGCGCAGGAGTCTATACCAGTAGAAGAACGCATGTGAGCCGTCACTCAAGGCACCAGTGAAGTTGTTGTTATCGCTAGGAAACAATTCGTAAAAGATTTCCAGAGTCATCCTTCCATTTCCGCAAGTCCCCAGGCGCGATCGACTCGACATCACCTCTGCGGAAATTGCCATCACCAGAGTAAAGCATCTATTCTTCCGATGGGAGATCGGAAACGATCGCGATATTCGATGAAGTTTGAAAAAGCAGTGCATTTCATGATCAGCGATTTTAATGTTATAGGGCCATTCCTGTGAATGGGAAATTGGCTCAACTGTCGCTGCGCCACGGCTTACCGTGAATTAGATCCCACGGCCTGGGCATGGGTGATAGATTTGGTACACATGTGGCCAGATAGTAGCGATATAATTTTTTTAAAGGCCAACTTGAGATAATGTTGAGGTGAATTGGCTTTGGATGCGTGAGGTTCAAAAACACACTCGAGATGAGCTGGTGAACGGTAGAGCGGCAGGGCTGTGACGGCCGCGGCCAGATGATCGCAGAATGTCACAAGTGACGCTCGGTGACAAACGCGTCCTTGCTCGGGCGCACCTTCAAAACCCGCGCCGTGCTGATGTTCTTTGACAATCCACTCTTAGTTCTTCAGGGCTAGTCTGGCACATTTCCGGGAGATAGCTCTAGGGTCTCTGCTAATGGCAGTCATGAATCTAGATTTCACGACGTCAAATTCTCCTTCAGCAGTGCTTTGAGCTAGTGTTTCTACCTCTCGAATGACCATCCAATAGGGGTCATAATCATTCACAAGGGGATAATCCTCCTCCGCGGGCTTCCGAAATCACCGACCGATTGCTCCTCTCTTCATGGGACATCTTTTCTCCTGTCGTCGGCGTGCACGTCATTTTTTTGAACGGGATCCTATCCTCGCTCGAGACACGTCGACCGCCTTTTTTCATCTGAGCAAAACTGCAGAAGCCCTTGGCGCGTTGAATGCGTGAAAATCTCTCCCTCAAGACCAGATCAACCAGGCTCTGCGTCGTCTATTGAGATCTGAGCTACTCAAACCCGATGACTTGGCAAACCGTACAAAGCCGAGCGCCTCTGGAGCGCGCCTCCTGTCTACTTTTAGGGAGGCTTTACAGGTCGATATGGAAATTGGACTCGAGGAAAATGGTGGGGTTTTACGCCGCATCTTAATCCGCGCTGTCATTCTGATACAACGTTTCAGCCGACGACGTCTTTCAACAACTTGTTTATGAGCTTTCACAGATCGAATCATCGCCTTCAGTCCAGGTAGAGCTGACTGTCCGCTCCTCGGATGAAGTACATTTTGACGGCTCATGTGAGCTAGCTTTTGTATCTGCCATCTGTGGATGATAGTTTGAATACCAATGTAGCTGAGCTGCCTGGCGCCGAAGAGCTTACTTCAGATACCGTCGAAATTCTTCAATGCATGAAACAATTGCCCAAACTCCTCGTGACATCCTCTATATTCCGTATACTCTTATTTGACATATCCATCACGGCACGAGACATCGCAGCATCTCTAGCGGTCGAAGTCGAGACACTCGCAAATCAAGTTGATATTTATGCCGAAAAAGTGGAGCAAGCCGCTCGTCATGGCAGATTGTCACCTGAGGAAGTCAAGATACATATTCGTGAGGCTGGTGATGATACGGAAGCCTTAGCGGAAGACAAATGTCGCCATCTTCGCGTACTTGCAGCTGAATCTTCGTTCGAACTCAAGGATAAGATTCTCTCCCGAGTGAAACAAGTTGAGAATTGGGGTTTGTTCCATCGCTGCGGTACTGATCAGAAACAATAGATAGTGTTAACAGCTCAGCAAGATCCCTTGCATCGACAGACATTTCAAACTGTCATCGCTTTGGCTCAAAAATATGCGGACAAATTCGCCGCAGTAGACGCGTCGAACCCTTCAGCCCTCAGTGTTACACCGGCCATCTACACAGACGAAAAGACACGACATATTCTGAACCTTCTTCAAGTCATTCTGGAACGCCTCGCTTCCGGGCACACAGTTGCACGCATCTTAGACGCGTTTTATCAAATCATCTTGGACGTCATCAACGCACCCGGCGGTGCTAACGGCGATGTGCGGAAACTGTGCCGTGACCTTGGGAAGTGGCTTGATCAGGCACTGCAACGGAACAAATACACGATGTCATGGAATGGAGCCCTTGCGCTGGAGCAGTTGTACGACCGCGGCCAAACAATCTTCACTTCCGAGTCGCATTCACAGCTATCGCTCCACTGCACTACACTGGTGCACGAGATACAGTCGTTCATCGATGCGATGTTATCAGATCGCTCTATGCGTAGGCTCACCGATGTCATCAATAATATCTCTGATGCGTTGGCTGAGTTTGGTAGCACAGCTCTGTCCCGCGCGATTCATAAAACTCGGCGGCGTCGCGCAGAGTTGAAACGCGATGCTTTTGCATCGCTGCTGCCACGTCTTTTGGCAACTTTTCGTACCGTTCCTGTCCCTCGCATGGAGTATAGGGATAAATTCATTGATGTGGCTGTTGACAGCATTTTCTTGACTTCTGGGTCAGTGTCCACTTCGCTCCTTCCCGACCATCTCGCATTCGAAAACGGGACGGAACTGCGCCTAGACACTGCTAGTAGTCAGCCTAGCGGAGATAACAATCTGAGAACTGCTGCCCACATGCATTTACATTTCGACAGGGCTCGCCTATCTGCCAAGGGATTTAACTACTACTTGTTCCCAAAGGGGCTCCTGGGATACCAAGATCAAGGGGCTCTCAGCATTGATGTGGGCAGCCAGGACGCGGTCGGACAGGGAATCACGATGAACGTCCAACCGGAGATAGAAACGGATCTTTAAGGCCGAGGGGAGCCCTCTGATCTCTCGTCAACCGAACATATGTCCGTCTTTCGTTCCACAAACGTTATAGTTGACGTCCCTGGCCTTAGCTTCACCATCGAAAAAAGCAAACACTGGCTTGTCAACACGCTTCTCATATAGCTACTGTCTGGGCCTGTGGTTCGTTTTTTCGCAAGGCGGATCATTGAGGAGCAGCTTCGTATGGGGATAGATTCCTTAGGTCGACTCTTAGGCAAGATACGTGACCTCGCACAGATGCAGGGGGAAAAACAGGGCCAGGAGGGTGTGCCTTCCTTCGACCATTATTGGTCTGCTGTGCTTCAATCCGTCGGTGTTCCATACGGGATGGACATCTTCACTTCCGAAGAAGATGCCGGCACTTCTAGACCCGACGACTCTCAGCCAGACGCCATTACTATCACTGAGGTTTCCTTGAAAGGCATCGTGCATACGAGCCTTGCGCCGCAAGATTCAAACGCACCTGAAACACAAAGATCGGATGGGGCTATCATTGTCGTTGGCGTTGGGCCACAGGTTGTAGAGAACGACGCCGGTCCATACTCCGAGGATTTACACGTCTTGCAGCTGTCTGAGGTGGTCGAAGAGGTACGAGAAGGCATTGAAGAAGTCGAGAACATAACCGCTGATACCGTACGGACCGCGACCAAGCGTATGGGCTCTATCAAAGAAGATCTTAGTAGGGCGCAGCGACTCAAGGAGGGGAGGGAGCGTTTGGAGAAAGGCAGGGACGGCTGGCGAAGTGGCGCTTACGATTTTTGACGCCAGAGTCGTTCCTGCTTCCCACCGAACAGCCAGGGGGGCTCTTTGGGCGTTTGTCCCGCTTACTAGTCTTCGTATGGTTCTTTTGCAATACTGCGTCTGTTTAGCCGGAATTGCCACTATAGCCGTACTTGAAGTTCAGTCTCGTGTGTACATGACAGTTATGTCCTCGAAACGTAAATCGTTCAAGATCCGTCGCAATCTTGCGCAATCATAATCTTGATCATGATTTTGTTGCCAGACGGCGTAGCACGATTCACGGATACGGTATCATAGGTTTCGCTATCATTGGCCAGTTCTCTGTATTGATCCCTGCCACTTGTTGTGCAGCCAACTTTTAGACGAAACCGGACTAGACGCGACCCCTCCTATGCACCACTGAGACCCGTCTCTGGACAATAGATTGACCTTCCGCCCATCCAGGTGTCCAGGTGTACCATGGAGCGAAAGGGTAATCATGAACGTTGATGAAAGAGTTACAGACACGTGCCCAAGATATTACAGTATATTGTACATGATCCAAAAATTGATAGTGGTACAGCTAATGAGCAGACGCCGCTTGCCAGCTTTCACAGAACACAGACAACGACCCTTGCGCCGAAAAAAAATCGATATCCTCCAGGTACTGATGATGCTCCCTTTTGTGAGCCTTGACCCGACGATCGGTGATGGTAGACCATACAGGTACCCATATCTGTGTACGTGCCAGGAATATAGGTCAAGGAGGATAAAGTGGCTGAGGGGAATTGAATGTAAACTCATGACGCACCTTGGACGCGAGATCAATCAGCCCATCCAGGATCCAGTTGTTAGCCGGAGCTGAGCCCCTAGTCGATGCGCGGAAGGAATCTGTCAGCATATCAGCAGTGATGTGAGCGTGGCCTTTCCGAAGGCCTACGTGAAAGAAAAAAACCCATGAGCATTCAAACGGTACGAGAATTCAAGGATACACTACCGGTCAGAAGCCCTGCAGCCGCCTGCTCTGCCGTCAATCCGCCGTCAGTCTCCTCAATCTTCTTGGTTATCTTCGGCTTGATCTTGTTCTCCTCCTCATAGCTAGGTGTAAACATCGTTGGTGGAAAAAATATATGGACATTGATGTCATAGAGGAGCAGTTCGCAGCGAAGAGTATCAGCGAGACCTCGAAGGGCGTGTTTGCCGGGGGAGTATCCTGAGTATCCCGGTATGGTCATTAGCCCGAGGGTAGAGGAGACGAAGATGATGGACCCGGTGCGTTTGTGCACGACCATCTGTTGGGTGACGATCTGTGGGTGAAAAGAGTCAACGTGGTCCCTTCGTGTCGAGTATTTGCTTTACCCATGCAGTCCAGGCTTGCACCCAGTATCCGTAATTCATGCCGTCGACGAGCTCTGCTTCTGTATACTCTACAAAAAACCTTGGAATGGCCTTCCCAGCGCATAGAAAGACGATGTCGGGCGGAACCCCACCATGCTTCGCAGCTGCTGCATCCAGAGCTGCTCGCGAGTCGTCGGCCGTGAACAAAGAGAAAGAGAAAGCTTGGTGTATCTGGTCCTTGGACTGACGGACTCCCTGAAATCCAGAACGGTTAGCACTGGACTCTCTGGTTATTTGCTCGGTGAGATTACCTCGATCTCGGCTAATGCATCTGCAAGCTTCTCTGAGTCGCGCGCAACAATAGAAACATGTGCCCCTTGTGAGCTGAGCATCTTGGCTAGCGCGAGACCTAAGCCCGAGCTACCACCCGTGATATAACAATGCTGCGGAGCGACTTTTGTCTCATCATCGTTAGCTCCGAGAGAAAAAGCGGGCTTACCTTCATCGAAGGATTCCATTCTGATCTCCCGAACATGGTGAAGCGGGTTCCCAGCGGCGCTGTGGATCCAAAAGAAATCGGTGGAGTGAAACCAGGATACCCACCACATTATATTCGATCAAATATGCAGCGGGCCCTGCCAGACGATCGAAGAGCATGCACCACACGACGTCCCTCCTACTTCCATTTGGGAGACAGGAAGCACGGAGGTGCAGGTGTCCAGAAAGGGACTAGAAGGGTGATAGGTGTTCCTGACTAGCGATGGCTGGATGAACATCATGCGTCCGCCATCGTATGGTCCAGGCAAACCAGAAACGCACGGAAGGCAGTACCTCGGTTTACTAACCCTGACTAGCTGCCCTCGCCCGGCGTAGCTTGAGCAGCATCCATCAGGCTGAAGAAACATGCGCAGTGATGATGCGGGGCTCCGACCCGATACCTCTCTCGGATCTTCGACCTCGAGCTCTCTCACCTCTCTCAGAGCCTCATCGCTGCTGATCGTTGCTTGATGCCTCAGCTGATCACCTAATCGAGCGTCGGTGCGTTCGGCCTTTGACAATACTGCTTTGATCGTCTCTGAAAGGGATCGTATGTGCTCGACATCAGCACAGCAGGTAGTAAAGAGTGGCCACGCTTGGCCAAGGAGTCACAATGACTCGCATCGTCATTGATTCGGATGGGCGGCAAGAATTAGCATACATAGTATCGTCACTATTGTCGACCTCTCCGCCAAAATATATGTCAGTCGCTGTACACATCAAGAAGGATAACCAAGCGATACACCACCTGCATATCGCATTCGTGGGCTCGAGGTCTCTGCTACAGGAGTCGATGGTCGACGTTGAGTCGAGAGAGGGGAGCAAGGATGCCGATGGCCGATGGCCGAAGAAGAATATTACCTAATTTGCGGCTGGACAAGTGAGGTCCGTCCAGCGCCGAAGACGGCTTGCAGCTTGTTCCATACCGTCATCTTCATAATGCTCTCCCTTCAAAAGGCCTCAAAATCCGTGAGTGTCGATTTTTTTCTGTTCTTTGCTTTCTGGTGACTACAACATACATGCTCACGTCCAAATCGTTATCGCAGTCCGCGCGGCGCATTGTCCGCCGTGTGCCTGCTGCCTCCCTGCAGGTCGGACGCTGGCAGCCCACGAGAGGGCTTGCGACTCCCTCGGAGCCATACGACGCTGTCATTATTGGTGGAGGTGCGTCAGGGTGGCTTTACGGTCCTCTGAGCAGGACGAGGACTAAAAAACAGGTCAGGTCCGGCAGGATATGTGGCCGCTATCAAGGCAGCTCAGTTGGGTCTGCGGGTGAGTAGTCTCCGAGCTTTCGCGAGCGCGACAATCCTGATTGTTCAAAAAACAGACTGCTTGTATTGAGAAGCGTGGATCGCTGGGCGGCACATGTCTAAATGTTGGCTGCATCCCATCAAAGGCCATGCTCAACAACTCGCATCTGTATCACCAAACTCAACATGACCTCAAACGACGAGGGATAGATGGTGAGTCTTTTTCTGACTTTCAGCATGCGACGCTGACTAGGTATGCGCACTGGTTAGTCAGCGGCGTGGCGCTGAACCTGCCGCAAATGCTCAAGGCGAAAGACGATGCCGTTTTCAACCTGACGCGCGGTATCGAGATCCTCTTCAAGCAGAACAAGGTCGACTACATCAAGGGCACGGCCTCTTTCGTTTCGCCAACCCGCATCGCGGTCGACCTCACTGACGGCGGCGCGTCCGAGATTGAAGCGAAGAACGTCATCATCGCGACTGGGTCCGAGGTCGCGCCGTTCCCCGGCGGCGCGATCGAGATCGACGAGCAACAAATTGTCAGCTCGACTGGTGCGCTCGAACTGCAGAAGGTCCCAGAAAAGATGGTCGTCATCGGAGGTGGAATCATCGGGCTTGAGATGGGCAGTGTCTGGAGCAGGCTCGGTGCAGAGGTCACGGTCGTCGAGTTTTTAGGCGCCATCGGTGGTGCTGGTATTGATGAGGAGATTGCGTGAGTGCTATGGGGCTCTCGACATGTTGGGGTTGCTGACGTGGCGCTGTGGGGTCGCAGTAAGCAGTTCCAGAAGATCCTGACGAAGCAGGGCTTCAAGTTCAAGCTGAACACGAAGGTCATCTCCGCTGAGAAGAAGGATGGCAAGGTCTACGTCAACACCGAAGCGGCCAAGGACGGAAAGGCAGACACGGCAAGCCCCGGCCCTCCCCCGTCCCTTCCGGCTTTCTCACTGACGTCATCCCGTAACCCAGCTCGAAGCCGACGTCGTCCTCGTCGCTGTCGGCCGGCGCCCAGTGACCAACGGGCTCAACCTCGACAAGATTGGCGTCGAGGTCGACAACAAGGGGCGTATCGTTATCGACGACCAGTTCAACACCTCCGTTAAGGGCATTCGGTGCATCGGTGACGTGACATTTGGGCCCATGCTCGCACACAAGGCAGAGGAGGAGGGTATCGCCGCCGCGGAGCACATCCACGCCGGCCACGGCCACGTCAACTACGGCACGATCCCGTCGGTTGTGTACACCCACCCCGAGGTCGCATGGGTTGGGAAGACCGAGCAGGAGCTCAAGGCCGCGGGCGTCAAATACACTACCGGCAAATTCCCGTTCCTCGCCAACTCCCGTGCGAAGACGAACCTCGACACTGAGGGACAGGTGAAGTTCCTCGTGGAGAAGGAGACTGACAAGATCCTTGGTGTTCACATCATCGGTGCGTCGCCGTTTCGACTAGTTCGACGTCCTTTCCCCGAATGAGGTGCTCACTGTTTTCCGTGTCGCTCGCAGGTCCCAACGCCGGTGAGATGATCTCCGAGGCCGTCGTCGCGATGGAGTACGGTGCAAGCGCTGAAGATATCGCACGGACGACGCACGCGCACGTGAGTCGTTTGGCCTCCCTTCATAGGCGGTCTGCTGATCACATTCTCGTTCGCTGGTTCTCCTCACTCCAGCCCACTTTGAGCGAGGCCTTCCGCGAAGCCGCGCTCGCTGCCTACGCTGGCAAGGCTATCCACTTCTGAGCCTTTCTTCGGCCATCGCGCGAGCATCCCCCACATAGACCTCGGCAGGAGCGACATGCATCTCTGGAGGGACTCTGACTTTTTTTTTGGTTCCGGTTGTGTTTGTAGACAACGCGTACTCGTATATGCTGATCTTTGAATCTACATAATTGCTCATACCATGTGGGACCACGGCGCTCCCATGCCGTCAAGGATGGCAGATTCACGCCGTTAAGACTGATTGGGCGCATGCCCCGCGCGCTCAACGTTCAACAACGCTGTCATGTACCAACAGGTTCAGACTTCAAACTCGCCTTATCCGTAGCTGCTTCGAGCGGACTTCCATCGGATATTCCGGCCACTTCGAACATGAAGCGGTGGGCGTATCTCATAAATCGTGAATCGCCCGCTGATGCGCTTCTACAGAACGACGATCTTTCGTGCACGAGGAGGAAAAGGTCTCCCTATCTCTTTGTGATGAGCTCCATTCGGCTTATGCATTAGAGGGACGTTCGAGAATGCGTGTGCTCGTTGACGGGTCGAATTTGGGTTCAATGTACATCGTCTCGATGATGGCATCATTAAAACAGCGTCTGTCTCGCTCAGGTTGGCTATGCCAGTCCCTTTTGTGGACGCGATGTGGGTTCCGTCCGTTTCCGTCGAACCTCTTACAAATCAGAGAGCCTCCCGCACACAGAACCTAACCCTCGAGCGCTGGACGCAGAGGTCGTCTTGCTGTGGATGCAGCAAAGAACACCGCGGCGCCTCCCTCATGCCACGGCGTCGGTGCACCCCGTCCCGTATCAGACTCGTGTGACCAGGGTCTGCTCTAGGTCTCTCCTTATGTTTCCGTCGGCGTCCGCGGTTGGCACGACTGGGGAGTCGTGGAAACATCGTCGTGGAACATTTCAGGACGCTCCATGATGGCGATGCAGCAGGTGTATATTCGACCCCCTCCCTCCCTCACCCCTCGTCGTATACAAGCGCGCACGCATACATCGCTTCAGCGCCGAATTTGCGCTTCGACTCTCAAGCGCGCCACCTCATCGTCGGTCGCCCAGGCCCCGTCTACCCCCGTCTCTCTATAGAAGAGCTTCAGCTCGAGCAGCCGAAGCAGTTCACGCTCTTCATCATTGCCTATCTCGTCATCCAACGCCGCGAAATCGACAGGTCTGCGATGAAATCGCTGGGTTTGCTGTCATTCGAGGTTCCGGAAGCGGCATCGTTTCTTGCACTTGCTGGCGTGCACGGATTGCCTTATGAGGTGCGTGTTTGGGGTGGAGCGGATCTGCCGCTGTACTCGGTCTAACGGCCGTTCGTGTCGCAGAGGTGGCCCGGCGACCTGGATAATACGTCAGCAGGTGTCAAAGATCATGTCTACAATGAGAGCGATCCCAAGGACACCGATCTCATCCCTTCACGATTCGGTGGCATGAGTCTCTTCACAGCGCCTCTTTATATGATCTCGCCCAACTGCCTGACCATAGTATTGCAATCACGGGAGCGTTGCGTTCCCTAGTAGTATTACCGACACTTTTGAGTCCACCGATATCCAAAACTACTGTGTTGCCAATTAAATGTAAATATAAATATGAAAAAATCCCTTCTGTAATCTTCATACCCTGCTTCAACTTTGAGGCCCAGAAGCAGCAAGATTGAATCAGGGGCTCAATAGATATGGATTTAAACAGTCTACCCCCTAAAACCAGACTGTGTGAAACACAGTCTGGGTTTTGGGAACCAAATCCGAAGTTGCACAACATTCTGTCTTATTCAGTAGGCTTAAAATGTAGTTGTAATGGTACCCTAATATTTTCATTAGTAGACATGGAGTACTGAAGATGTTACAGACAAAATACAGAATTGAGGGAAAACCTCAAAAAACCGAGTCTCCAGTCCACAATTTTCCTTTTATTTCCATTGCAAAACTAATAAAATGCTCCTACATACACTACCTTTCAGATTATACCCTAATTTCATTATTTGGATGAGGGGATCCAGAGATATGTAATTGTTTGTGATGTTGAGGGTATTCTGCAACCGGGAGACACAGTTTAGTCAGCATCGGGAAAGGGCGGCACACAGTCGGGAGATTGCGGACCTACAGTTGTCACACTGTTGTCACACCACGCACAGTCTCTCTGTTGCGCCACACAGTCCGGCCGAGACCGCACACAGTCCGGATTTTGGCGCTGGTTCAGCGCCACACAGTCCGGATTCTCGGTGACAGTCCGAGATTTGGCGGTGAATCTGCGCCACACAGTCCGGCCGTGCCGCACACAGTCCGTTGATTGTCGCGCCACACAGTCCGACTGTGTCGGCACACAGTCCGACTGTGTCGGACACAGTCCAAGTTTTCCCTCCGACTGTGTCGGCACACAGTCCGACTGTGTCGGACACAGTCGGAGTTTTCCCTCCGACTGTGTCGGCACACAGTGCCCTCCAACGTCTCGTGATCAAGCATGCCGCCACGTCGCGTCGCGTCGATCCTCCCCGCACATTTGAACATCGAGCACAACACGCTTCCTCAGCCGAAGTCTCTTTGCTCTCTCAGGACATTTTGGATTTTATTAGTGAGCTTTTTCTTCTTCTGAACCCTTTCTCTGCATGCTCTCGACGACGCCAGCAGACAACAGATGCTCAGAGAAAGTGTGCACTGCTGATAGAATTTTTTCTTACAGTTTGCAGCTGCAATACTCCGGGCACCCACTCCACGCTCTTTCCACACCCTCTTCCATCTCCACGGCTTTCTCTTTTCTTGTCAACATCCACGACATCCGTGTCGGCGCCGTCCTCTTTAAACGACTGCTCTGCGCCCACCCTGTCTCATGATGCGTGGAGCAAAGCGACTATCTTATCACGCGAGGTTGAGCACATTGAAGAGAAGAACAAGGAGCAGATGGTGATAGAGGCAGAGGAGGGACAGCGGCTGTCGAGAGACGAGGGTGGAGCGACGGGACGATGATGATGGACACACACTCATCGAGCAGGCAGAGCGGTACGACGGTACGTACCTCCTGTTATCGCCCTTTCTGCCTGCACCTCCCTCGACATCCACGCCTCGAACCCCCACGCATTCGTCTTCTCAGCCCCCTGGCTCCTCCTCGCATGTGTGGACCGACTACTCCTCCCATCCGCCCGCCCCTCCCTCGACTTGCGTACCCTCGACTGTTCGCACTCCCGCCCTCGATGCCCGCTCGACCGCCACCTGTTGCACCACGACAAGAGGCCCAAATTCGCCTCTCGCGCGCTCCCACACCTCCGCACTCACACCCTTTGCCTGCCCGGTCCTCCAGCACACCAAACCTCGCGGACCGTCGCACTTCTCCATCCACCCCACAACTTGCTTGAAACAATGCTGGAGCACCTCGATGTCGACACCTCGTTGCTGGGCCAACCAGGACGAGAATCGGCGGCGCGCTGTCCAGGGCAACCAGTCGCGCCACGCAGCGTGAAAGTGCTGCTCGATGTTGAGCGCTCCTCAGCGGATGAGTTGCGTAGGGTGCGTGGCTCAATTATGTGTCAGAGAATCCCCCCGTTAAGCGACATGAATCCCCTGGCTTGAAAAATAGCGGCGCGCTGTGTAGGGCACCGTGTCGCGCATCACACCCCAAATGTGCCGCGCGACACGCTGCCTTACACAGCACGCCGCTGCTGGCTTCACTGGGGACACCAGCCACTACCACCCCCCTCACCTTCGTACTGTCTCCGACGACGACCCTTCCGCCAGCCCTCCGTGGCACTTTCACGCCGCGTGGCACGTCAGGGATGCCCACGGTTGACCACTTTCCAGCAGACTGAGTGCGCAGAGTGTAAAAATGACGGCGCGCTGTGTGGGGCAGGCTTTCGCACCTCACTGCCAAAATGTGCCGCGAGGCACATTTTGGAAGTGAGGTGCGAAAGCCTGCCCCACACGCCGCCGCCGGCAAAGCCGGCGGCACCCCACTATACTTATCCTCTCATCTACCCCCGCTCTTCTTCCTTGTTATATAAAACTAGTCTAGTTATTCCACTTACCTAACCCTTTAATATCCAATGCGAGGCTTATGGTGCTAACTGACTCATGAACGCAGCACTGCGCTGAAGGTTGCCGAACTCGACCTGGCGCATGCACAAGGCCATGTGCAGCAGTTCCAAGAGATCAGCCAGGCGAATGAAGTGGTGCTAGCAGGCTTTAATGCGACCTACGATGACTACAAGTCATCCACGGAGTCGCAGCTCGTGAAGCACGAGGTACGTTTCGTTGGATGCTGGACATTTGCGTCGATGGCTGACTTGGGTTGCAGTCCGATTATAACGCTCTGTCAGAGAACTTGCACGTCGTCCAGCAGGAGCTGACGGCGTCTCGGGAGGTGATGGCGGAGACGAAGCGCACGTTTGACAAGGGGTGGGAGTCGTGGGCGAATGATAAGCGGACACTTGAGGATACCCTCATCGAGCTGACCATGTCGGAGAAGCATATCGCGGAAGACAGGACATCGCACAATGCGAGAGGAGTGTGCCGAGGTACGTACAGGACATTCTAGTACCCATCTTCTGGCACTCATATTCTGGATGCCGGTTCAAAGTCTGCGAAGGCCAAGTACAAGACCAAAGTCATCGCTCACGGCGAGTCGCTTCGGGACCTCGAAGGCTTAAAGCTGCAGTTGTCGAAGCTTCAGATCGAGGCGTGGACACACCTGACCGCTGCGGAGACTACCCAAGCCAAGTTGGCGTCGTCTGAGTCTAGCTGGGGTCAGCAGAGGGAGGCCCTCGACAAGGAGATCGCTAATTTGACTGCTAGGCAAGTCATTCCTGTTGGTCCCGCGCGCGATAGGGTTCTAAACTTCTGATTCTAGGTCGAAGAAGTTGGTGGAGCAGAACAAGGTGCTCCATCAACACTCGGACTCGATCAGTTCGCAGGCTGCATCCGGCAAGGTTAGGATGCAGGCTCTGCGCCGCCTGCAGAGACCGAGCCCGCTGGCGACGTGGACGAGATGTTTGCGCCAGGTGATCTCGTACTTGTGGAGGTAGAAGAATTTCATCGACATGCAGCTTGCGATGAGCAAGCAAGAGGACACTCGCTTGAAGCTTCAGGCAATCCGCTTTAGCCAAAACCTCAAATACACCAGGGCCACCTAGGGCCACACTTTCCGAGGTGTGCACTTTTTTATGCCATCGAATTCACATCGTCTGATAATCTGATCTTGTCCTGTTCAGGCACGTGAATGTGCCGTTGCAACGGTCGCCACCGATACACAGCATGGGGAACTTGTGGAAAAAATTAATCAACTGACTATCTTCTGGGAGAACAACGTGACGCTGCGTGCGGATGCCGAATCTCAAGGGAAACGCGCTCGGGCGCTGGACTCCAAGCTCACGACCTTGAGTGGCTCGACGCCGCAAACGGTTTCATCGTGCGCAAGCAGAGCCGGAAGTGGTCGAATCGCGCGCAGCTGCGGATGGTGCGCGGGGAGGGCTCGGTGTCATCACCCTAGGGCCTCGACGACCCCGGCGAGAGGCCAGACAGGGGCTTGGACGAGCTAGAAGGAGATCGGTGTGCTCAAGGACCGTGCGGCTAAGGTCGGAGAGACGAAAGAGCGGGCGCGCATGCTGCTGGTGGCGAGCCCAACCAAGGAAGAGTGGGACGTGCACCTGAAAGAATGCCAGCGCTTGCTGATGGAGGGGTCGTCGAACAATGTTTACTTGGACTAATTGACGGACCTAGATAGGTTGGTCGCTCACGGGCAGCTGCTAGACGAGCTCAATCATGATGTGGATGACGCAGTCATGACCCTCGAAGAGGCTTCACAGCACCTGGTCCACGCGCGCGCCTGCTATCTCTCGCTCGACAACAAGCACCGGAAGAAGCTCGAGGCCCGTCAGCATGCCAGGCATGTGCGTTTGCAGTCGTACAAGACCATCGAGGAGCTGGACGAGTTCCGGAACCCCACACCCATGCACTTAGCTCTGCCCTTCCTCAACGTGTTCCACGGTCTCTATGGTGGCAGCGTCCCGCTCCACCAAGGTCCACGCACCCATGCTGCTCCACGACGCGGACAATCACGACAACGGAGCGGAGGACGAGGAAGAGGATCGGCCACGTGGAGATGGGAGGTAGTGGACGACGAGGCCATCTACATAGGTACATCGTCAGTCGCCCCAATTCCTCCTCTCCTGCTCTCCCTCCTGCTCTTCCAGCTGTCCCCCCGCTGGTCCCATGCCCACTGGCCCACTGGCCTGCGCGCGCGCATCGTCCACGCCCCCTCGCGCATCGTCTGCGTTGCCCAGACCCCCGCTTGACACGCCCGCATCTATCACTCGACGCCACTCACCTGCTCATCCCGCTCTTCTATCACGACCTCAATCCCCTCATTCGACCTGCGTCCCCTCGACCCTTTCGATGGCGACATTCCTGCCCTTGACCCCGCGCCCTGTCGTCCGCTCAGCCCATGTCACCCTGCCACCCAGCACCCTCGCACGCTTGCGCCCAGAACCCTCGTGCTCATCTCCTCTGCTGTCGACGTCCCCACTCTCGACATCGTAAACGCTCGCCACCCAGAGCCCCCGGTGGCCCCGATCCCATCAAATGTCGCCCATCTCCTCGATCCCTTGTGTTCGTTCTCGCCTGCGTCCTGTCACGTACAACCACGCACACTCGTTCCCTTAGATACTCACACAGCCTCCACCCGGCGCTCTCCTGCTCGTCTCATCGATCCTGTACGCATTCATCCCCACACCCCCGACACCCCCGCGATACAGCGCCCTCAACATCTTCAATCACTGAGGGCTGAATTGCGAAGCTGCTCCGTCGACACCTCCGCGCGCGTGCTACACGCAAAGCATCGCGGCCATTCTAGTGTCGACGAGGAGGATGAGACCCAGCTGGCAACGGAGGACGAGGAACGAGTGCGTCGGAGAGACGAGCTGAGAAGAGTGGGCACGGATGACGAGGCTATCCACAAGGGATGTAGGTATGTTGTCGTCTCTTACTCCCGTTCTTCTCCCGCACACGTACCTCTTGTGTTCGACTTATCTGCCCACCCCCGCACGGCATCACGCCCACTCTTCCTCTCATTCAGTCCTGCTCTCGACCTGCTCGCCCAACCCTCTCGACCCGCTTGCCTGACCCTCTCAGCCTGCTTGCTTGCTCGCTCGCTCTCGTGCTCGACCCGCTCGACATCATGCCCACTTGCTTGTGTCGTCCATGTCCCCTCCGCACATCGTCTGCATTGTCCAGACTCCTACTCGACACACCCGGACTTCCTGCTTGACGCCATGGGCACTCGTGTGCTCGAGTGCTAGCCCAGCTTGACTGTCGATCCCACATCTGCCCTCGTCCCCTCAGGTTCAAGCGCCCGCTTTTGCCTGGGACTAATATCATCCTACCCCGCCCAGCCAATTCGTACCGCACGCGCGACCAGCCCTGGTACACTTTCGGGCACGGGCTTGTTCTGATGTACATCGAGCTCGGTGTCATCACCTCGATTACGTACTATACCTTTCTGTGGTGCGAGAACGCGCGGCGGGACCACGGCGAGCAGTTAGAGGTCGCCAGCGGCCTGGATGGGAAGGAAGGCGTGGTGGGAGTAGAGAAGGAGGGGCTGGGAGGTGCACGCACGCCGGAACGGGCGGTTTGCGAGTGTTGCAGGGGCGACGCTTGTCTCCTCGACACCACTCCTGCCCTCCTACTCGTCCTCTCAAAACCCTCGACCTTCACTCCCTCAAATTACCAACTATCGACTGCCCGCAGATCGCACCCAGACCCTACCTCGAGGATAAGGAACGGCTGCAGCGGAGAGACGCACTGGGAAGAGGGCTGAAACGGATAACGAGGACATCCACGATGGATGCAAACTCGTTGAGCAGGCCAGTACGTCGCCGTCTCTCGCGCCAGTTTCTCCCTCTCCCGGACATCCGTATCTCCCACACTCATCCCGTCTATCTGCCACGCCCACTCACCTGTTCTCCACCACACCTGCCAGCCTGCTCGATGCGCTCCGACACCACACCCTCGTTCTCCTTGACGCATCTCATTTCGCCTCTCCCATCATTAACCATGGGCAGTCCATATAGTACGGTTCCACCAGTGCCCACTAGTAAAGCGGCGACGACCATACACACAACCCCTTCAACACTCGACCTTCCTTCCCTCGTGCCACACATGCCCGCTACCTAGCTCCAAGATTCGACCTCCTTCAACGTCCTCAACGGCACGCACGCACGCATGCTCCCTCGATCCCTCGACGGTCCGCACCAACTCCTCACTCCTTCCCTCAGCCCCTTGCACACGCGCCCCTTCGACCCCACGCCTACGCCTATCACTGTCTCGTTTGGCGTGCTGCACGGTTTCCATGGCGATGGCGTCCCACTCCACCAGCGCCTGCGTACTCGCGCGGCTCGACGACGCGGACAACCACGACAACGAAGAGGAGGACGAGGAGGAGCACAGAAGAGGGAAGGAAACGGTTGACGAGGACATCTACAAAGGTACGTCGTCACTCGCCCCAGTTCCTCCCCCGTACACGCACACCTCCCGCCTTCTATCTGACTCTCCTTGTCGCCTTCAACAATCTACCCCTCGACTCTAACCGCCCCCTCCTCTCGTCCGCTCAACCTCTCCCACATCCGACTCGCTCCCCCGTCCGACCCTTAGGTTAGGTTAGGTTAGGTTAGGTTAGGTTAGGTTAGGTTAGGTTAGGTTAGGTTAGGTTAGGTTAGGTTAGGTTAGGTTAGGTTAGGTTAGGTTAGGTTAGGTTAGGTTAGGTTAGGTTAGGTTAGGT